TGTGTATGTGTGTGTGTATATGTATGTATATATGTGTATGTATGTATGTATATATATGTGTATGTATATATGTGTATGTGTGTGTGTATATGTATGTATGTATATATATGTGTATGTGTGTATGTGTGTGTGTATATGTATGTATATATGTGTATGTATGTATGTATATATATGTGTATGTATATATGTGTATGTGTGTGTGTATATGTATGTATGTATATATATGTGTATGTATATATGTGTATGTGTGTGTGTATATGTATGTATGTATATATATGTGTATGTGTGTGTGTATATGTGTGTATGTATATATATGTGTATGTATGTATGTATGTACACACACATATATGCACACACACACTCCTTGAACATACATATTAGTACCTAAGGTGAACACATTAGGTCCTAAAAGGAGCCACCCCAGTGACAGGTTTTGAGCATTTTTTTCAAATTTCTAAATATGTATATTTGTGTTTATATATTTATCGCAGTAGAACAATTTCCAAAAAAAATGTAAACTTAAAAGAAATACATAAAGAACTAAAAACAAACTACACACACCCACACACACATCTATAATTAAAAGCATTTAACAAAGTTTGAAAAAAAAAAAAGATAAATGTAAATATATTTATTACGAACTAAAAAAAAACAAAACAAAAAAAAAGTTATTTTATATGTACACACATATTCTTAAAAAAACAATATAAATATTATATTAATACAATATTCATGAAAAATAATTATAAATTATAAAATACACATAAACGCGCACACACACACACACACATCTATAATTAAGTCTAACAAAATAAAAAATAAAAAGAAATATATTTACTTATTATGAACTAAAAAAAAACTAATTTATATATTTTTTCATTTATATTTACACACACACACACACATTTAAAAAAATTAGTAAAAACATTGTATATTTATACAGATATTTATGAAAAATTATTATTACAAATGATCAAATACACATGCACACACAGAATTAACATGACAGTGACAAAGCACTGCCTTACGATTTCTGCCTCACAGACAAGAAAAAAAGGCAGAAAGATCCCGTAAAGTTACATTACATCCCTGTAAGCACATTGCAATTCCCTAACAGCCGCTCAAAACACCTTTGCAGCTGCACAGCAATGTCTGGCAACCACCTACAAATCCCAGCATCACAGTGACGGGTTTTACACGGACAAGCACTTCTTCCGAAAATGAAAAATCATTTTTCTATCACAAACCGGTGTCACAAAGATATTTAATATGCTGCTTTCTCGTTGAATTCAACTGTTTTTGTTCATTCTTTGTATAACCTGCACCAAAATAAAGTCTGTTTTTATCCCTACCAAAACATTTGCTCATTCTGGGAATCCTGCCCTGACAACAAACCCAGGCCCAGCTTAAATAATGTCTCATGGCTTGCTGAGCTTCATCTGGAGTGTCCTGCAGCTGTCTGACCTCCTGATGTGTTTCCTGGGCAGAAGCACAGCTGCCATCCCGCTCCCAGCTCACTGCACATGGCACTCCCAGGATGGATGCACACGTTGCCCCCGGGCCTGTAACCATGGCAACCGCTGCGTAGGCCGACCCCACACTTATAAACCCCGTTATCTCTGACTAGATCACTTGATCTTGCAAATGAAGAGAATACAATAGAAATATGGTTTAAGGACAACATTTTTGACTTTCCTCTTTATAACGTTCTCCACTTTCAACATCACTGTTGATATAACGAAGGCCATGTGGGCAGGGAAACAAAATAATAACCATTAACACAATCACAGACTAACAAATTTTATTCAACTTTTTTTTATCCAATCAAATCCAAAAAGATAAAAATCTAATCCCTACACTAAATGTTGTGTTTTAAATTAAACAAAAAAACAAAAACATCACAATACAAAGTTAAATGCACTGTAATGGCTCGTTTCCATCGAGCGGTACGGTTCAGTACTGTACGGTACGGTACGGTATGCAATTATGTCCGTTTCCATTGTCAGAAGTTGTGAATGGTGCCAAAACAGCGAACCTACCGTACCACTTTTTTGGTACCCTTCCCTTGGGGTACCTAGCACAGCAAAGGGTACCAAAAGGGTGGAGCTAAACTCACTGCAGAATGTTAATTGGTTGACTAGAATCGTCACTTTTGCGTGATACAAGGAGATAAAGCTTCTCCTTCACTGTTCACTCGTTCCGCTCTGCTGTCTGTGAGTGTTGGGCTTATTTACATCAGAGTGCGCAAACACAAAAAAATATAACTGTATTTTATATTTTCACACAGACAATAGCCGTTTCTCAATATGCGTTCTTGTCTTAACCCGCGTAATTTTCAAAATATTACTGTTATTGTGTTATGAAATGTAGTTTTAAGAGTTTTTAGGCGAGAATGTAGTTGCCGATTTTGGAGCTCCAGGCGATCAGCGGGTGCTCAGTGCTCATGTATCCACCTAGAGCAGCCTTAGATCGGCTAGTCCTTCCGACATTTGCCGCTGGCTCTGATGTCTCTGTAGTGATTAAACACGAGATACAATTCATTTTGGGTATATTTAACAGGCATTCGTGGTCTCATGAATCTATTATTTGTTCCTAGTCATATCGTTTTGGCTGAGCACTAAGTTATGTTTAATATAACTATATACTTATTTTGAACTTCACCGTAGTACAGCGCTGACTTTGTAGCATACGTTTGACTGAATTGTATGCTTTTGTCTTTATTTCCTCTTATATAAGCCTCTTATACTTTGTACTTATACTTTTATAATGGCTATTATTGTTCATTAAAACTGGCATTTAACAAAAAGAGGCAGAGTTGTGCTTATTGTCGCGCTTTATCGGCGATCGCTACTTTAAGTAAGGGTACTGTTGGTGGTGGAAACGCAAGCTGGATTAGGGTGTTCGGTCCCAAATCGCACCATACTGTATTGTACTGACCCGTACCTTCCGTAAGGAAACCATTTGACCATATAGAAAGAATTTCATGAAAATACCAATATATTTGCCAGTCCTGCTGATGGCTGGTGTGTGATAGTGCGTGAGTGAACTGCACTACTGACCTTGACACATTTGCCAGAAGGTACCAGCTGAAAG